ACCATCGTCATTAGGGGGCGCGACGTCGCACACGACGCCCACTGGCGCGGCGAATCACGATCCTTATGCCACATACTCTAACTGATCTCCTTTGTTTAGTTTTTCCCGTCTTTTCGCCTGCACTGCAGTGTTTCCAGTGTTTTCTTTTGCCATTTCCTCTGAACGGGTATATTCAGCGAATGATTCACGATCAGCTGCACTGTACGATCTATGGAGCTGCTCCGAAAAACGGTCAATCGGCTTAAAACAACAACTCATCAAGCACCAGCTAGGATGACATCAAGCAGATTATCAGACGATACAGATGAATCAACAATTGCCCTCCAACCCCAATACTATTTCGTTTGTTTACCAGTGAAATGCTCGGCGTTTTTCGCTGTTCAACGCGAGAAAGCTATTATTTGGCTTGTGAAGAGGTTGTCTGAGTGTCCTAGTTTGTGGTAGTCAAGTAAGAGCTAGTTAAAGCCAGGAGAGGAGAGAGCTAGTCCAGAGAAAGGGAGGCGTGTAGAAAAAAAATCTGAAAAATTGTCGGAACTCTCAAAGTATACTAAAAAGTTTAAAAATCTCAAAGTACATTCATAACTCTCGTCATTAATAGTGTCAATTGAAAGTAGAACAGAACGCCCTACACTTAAAGAGATAAAATAATATCAAATAGAAAATGCCGGGCAATAAATTAATATCTTTCAAAATAGTAAAAAAATATAAAAAATGGTACATTATGGGAGTACTATATGCATAACTCAATATAAACTGATGAGACACCCTATTTCTGGAGTATAAAGCACATCCATGAAAAGTGTTATTCGTAGGACATTACCATTCAAAACAATATCGCTCTGTTTTGTGGTGGACAAAGGCATGATCACAAATATCGACAGGGGCAGCTTTCCACACAAAACGTAGCTGGTGCGACCTTCAGATGAACTACGCGTCCACGCCCTCCCCATTCCGGAAATATGGGGTGTAGTCACGGCGTCATTTTTTCGCAAAAGCCAACTGTAGTTCGGTAGAAAGGTCAATGTGGGGAGGCTGATAACTTGGGAGGGGTGCTCGAAGGGTTTCGGGGGCAAACCTGATGTTCCCGTCATCCAAACGTAGTTTATAATGTGCTTTAAACTAGCCCAGCTTGAAAGGAGCTTGAGAATCCTGTCAAGTTTAAGGCCTTCTCAGAAGTACTCATGTCCATTACGGTAAGCCCAGTTTTGAAATAGAGTCTCCGAAAGTTCTCTCCATGGCCCGTTTATTGCTGATATCGAGTTGTTTCCACATTCATATATCTGAGTGGCACAGGTACTGGCAGCTAGGTTGAGGTTCATGTTCGAGTACCGGCTGGTGTCGAGTCTTTTGACATTTAAATTTACATGTTTTGACTGGGTAATAATAATAATAATAATAATAATAATAATAATAATAATAATAATAATAATAATAATAATAATAATAATAATAATAATAATAATAATAATAATAATAATAATAATGTATTCTCACCTCTCGTGACGAGCCCTCACATCTATGGGCATGCGGGAAAAAGAAATCTGAAGTTTGCCGTCTTGAACAGCTGCTCCTTTCATAGAAAACACTTTTATGTGTTTATCCAGCAATGCTTTTCTAAGCAAGCGTTCCAATAAACACATAAAGTCGGGTGCAAAGAAGACCTATAAAAGTACAGGAGGCTCAGAACTCCGTCCCCCGAAAAACTCGTTCTCGTCTGATGGATTTCTTTTGTAAAATATAGTACTTGAATTCACCAACTTATGCAAAACAAAAACATCTAGAGGGGCTGTGGTAGTGCTGAAGTGCCAACAGGTCTAAATAAACTTGGCTTTGATCTACGAAGAAGGCATTTCCCCGTTGCTCCATCGGATTTCTATGCCGTTTTCTTCTTCCTCGCTTCCTTCCTTTCTTACTTGTTGACTGTTTAGCAACTTCTAGTGTCATCTGTTGTGAGATTTTCTCTACGATCCTGTCTGTACTCCTACCGACGCTGCTAGCAGTACCATTTTTGTAACTTCACAAGGTATGATTCTACCTCAGCAGGAAGTGGACTACTGGCTCTCACTTACTCTGCTACCCCTGCTCTTTATTTGTGGCTCCATCTCTTGATCCCTTCTTCTGATGTACTTACTTGAGAACGAATTTGCTGGCCGTACTAGTGAATACAGAACTTTCTACACTATTGATTTCATACTTCCAGAATAGTAGAAGAAGAGTCGTGGAAGAAAAATTCCGGTTCCTTCTTGTGTGAAATGGTAAACAGTGTTCGAATTATTCTGCACAGCAGTCCTCAAAAGTGCAGAAGACTATTGCAGTCTCTCTACTGAGAAGTTCTTCAGGGCCGAACATGATTTCCCGGAATATCTCTGACAGTGATGTCAGTTTATACTTCGCACTCAGCTGCTAGGGCATGTCAATATTACTCAACACATTCATGTTTTGCAAATGCTTTGTGAGGACCAACTAGGGTTTGCAGATTGATTTGCTCTTGAACTTCGCTACAAGTGCCAACTTGATAAAGGGTAAAGGATTGAGTCTTCGCCGTTGATCAATCCCTTTGTGGGATGCGGCACGCATTCTACTTCCATTCAGAATCGTAGTGGGTTATTGAATGCGATGAGCACCACAGTGACTTGTGGGAGCCTGCCGATGTTAAGCCAGTACTTTTATCCTCTGAGACGAATCTGGTACCGACTGACCGTCCTGAAGCGCAGAAAGCTTGGTCATCCTGAGCGGAACCAATCCGGGTTTGACCACAGAATTTTGAATTAGTGAACAATACATAGCGGTCCACTTGCCACTACACGCCTCCGCCACCAGAGTACAGACTTTATAGTTGGTGAATCATTGAGCCAAAAGTGGTTTTGCCAAGGAATCCAGGCAGATCCGAACGGTTTGCATTAGGAAGTCACTTTTTGGGCACCTGGGGATGATTTTGCAACTTCAGGGAAAGCTCGGAGGCACTGTTCACCCTTTAGAACTTGGATTTTGGCAGCTCAAGAAAGTTTTTTTTGCCATTTCGCCCATGGAATTAGGTTTTGTCGCGAAAAGGCTCTAGGAGAAGATCTCACCTTTTAAACACGACCATCTCATCCACTCCAGGTTTTCGGTGCCCACATTACAGGAAATGGTAGTACAGAGTATGCTGCTCGTATGGTTTTGAGGGGGTAAGCTATCCCTTGATCGAATTTTAGCCGTACCCACCTCCGCTGAAAACTGACTTGAATTACGAAAAGGGAGAGGTACGGCTACTGCGAAGGGGAACCAAGAAAGAAAAAGGAACTTTCATAAGCTCCCAAAAAAGCTGTTCAAAAGCCAAAAAAGTCTCCAAAGCTCGTGGAGAAGGAACGCTTAAAGGGAGTCCAAAAGTCTATGAAAAAATACAACCAAAAGAGGCTCCAAGAGCTCCTGGCAATGGACAGCCCAGTTAGGAGAGAGAGGGAGTCGAAGTCCTTGGAAAAGGGCGTTACATATTTTCAAAGGGGTTTCCAAAAAGAGACGATAGTGGGCAGAGCGTCCCAAAGAGCATACCAAACTTACAAGGAAGTTTCCCACGAAGATCAACCCCGGGACATCCGCTTTTTTGATTGTCTTAGGATGTCTGCCAAGAGAGCGTAACGGAAGTCTATTTACTTTGGACAGTTCACGTTAGTCGGGGTGAACTTTACCGAATCGATTATCACCCACGTCATGGTCACACTACCCTTTCATAACCTAATCAAAACTCTGCTAGATCAGCACATAAATCATTATTCGTTGGGTTTAGTGGGGCGTAATCCCACATAGGTAGTATTATGGGTAATACCCACGCCTGCTGCTGTTCTCCGAATTAGTCGCGATCAGCCAGAGTTCAGAGCATTATTTACACAGAGTGAGTCTGACTCACGTTGGTGGGGCGGAGCCACCACAGATCAGCATCAAAAAAGCAGAATATAAGCGATGCCGCACGGATTATACCATACCGATCTCGTTTTGTCGTTTTTGCTAGCGTAGTTTAGCTATTCTGT